GCACATGGCTAGCCAGTTTTCCCAACATCATTTTTTAAACAGGGAATCTTTTCCCCATTGCTTGTTTTTGTCAGGTTTGTCAAAGATGGTTGTAGATGTGTGTCATTGCCTCTGAGGCCTCTGTTCTGTTCTATTGGTCTCTATCTCTATTTTGGTACCAATACCATGCTGTTTTGATTACTGTAGCCTTATAGTATAGTTCAAAGTCAGGTAGTGTGTTGCCTACAGCTTTGTTCTTTTTGCTTAAGATTGTCTTGGCTATGCGGGCTGCCTTGTGGTTCCACATGAAGTTTAAGGTTGTTTCTTCCAGTTCTGTGGAGATGGCCATAGGTAGTTTGATGGGGATAGCATTGAATCTATAAATTACTTTGGGCAGTATGGCCATTTTCACAATATTGATTCTTCCTAACCATGAGCATGGAATGTTTTACCATCTGTTTGTACTCCTTTATTTTGTTCATTGCTGGACTGTTTACAATAGCAAAGACTTGAAACCAACCCAAATGCCCATTGATGATAGACTGGACAAGGAAAATGTGCCACATATACACCATGGAATACTATGCAGCCATAAAGAATGATGAGTTCATGTCCTTTGTAGGGACATGGATGAATCTGGAAACCATTCTCAGCAAACTGACACAACAGAAAATCAAACACAGCATGTCACTCGTAGGTGGGTGTTGAACAATGGAACACATGGACATAGGGAGGGGAGCATCACATACTGGGGTCTGTTGCAGGGGGAAGGGGAGAGACAGCAGGGGGTAGGGAGGTTGGAGAGGGATAACATGGGGACAAATGCCAGGTACAGGTGATGGGGAAGGAGGCAGCAAATTACATTGCCATGTATGTACCTATGCAACAATCCTGCATGATCTGCACATGTACCTCAGAACCTAAAATGAAATTATATATATATATATATATAAGTGTTTTCCTTGCTTAGCCCAGAACAAATTTCTGAAGAAATCAATGAAGACTTCCTGTTTCTGTGAAGCTCAAGGCTTCTCAGAAACACTTAAAATTTAAATTGTGATCTTTTTCCCCCATGTATCAACTCTATTTGTCAACAAAAACTTTTCTAAGGTTTGCACAGTTGGACAACGTATAACTAGCTGCCCCAGCCACACAGAAGGTAGGAAAGAAAAGCCCAGGTATGATAATTTGGAACTTAGATCAGTATAGACTCAATCAGGGTTCACTGACTGCTCCTCCAACAGATATTACCTGAAACAGACAGCAAGGAAAATTAGATAATTGGCAAAAGGAAATAAAATATTCCTGACATTTTATAAAGGTGAAGCAATTTTGAAGCAAAGTTATTCGCTGGATGATGCTGCTTCTTCATTGAACTGGAGCCCAATTTAGGAGACAGACAGGCTGCATTTACATTGCAACATAAACCCAAGGGTTGCTAACTTTTTTCTTTCCTTTTGCATACAAGTAACTCTATCCTCCACTTAAACTCTTATTGCCTTCCTTATATTGATACCCTTGATATTCTTAACCTGCTAATGTGTTCACATCCTTAGTTATTACAATTGTATAGCATTTCTTAAAGATAATATAAAGAATATTGGATATGAAAAAAATAGAACCTTAGGAAAACATTTGAAAAGACCTATGCTAAATACTAAATCATATAATGTAAGGCTTTTCTGGTTTATTAGAAAAGAATGCACAATGACCTGCCCACACTGTTAACATTCAACATGGTATAACATAATCAGAATTTCCACTTGTCATTTACATCCAGCAGTCTCAATGTCACAGAAACTATGTTATTTGGTCAATATTTTAGTTGTATAATTTTATTTCTTTTAACATTAAATGTCTTTCTGGGCTCTGAACATTATTCTGAACAGTTTGGATTCCAAAGAATGAAAATATCAATATCATTCTAATTTTCTCTAAGAATAACCAAGAAATAATTTCCCACATAGGAGGCAGCCAATTCAAAATTGTAAAGTTTAGAAAAATAGAGGAGCTAATGATAATAAACAGCTCCATCCTTTTCTCTTTAATATCTACTTGTAAGGTAAAGAACACTGTAATTTTTTTTTAAAAAAGGTATTATCATTATTCATCACCAAGCGTTCATAGACTGCTTGCTACTCATGTAGGAAATTATAGGAGGTTATGTGAGAAATGCAGGCCATCACTGGTTTTAAGGAGTTTGTAGTTGACCTGAGGCAGACAAAAGCAAAATTAAGGAATAATTAAACTCTGCCTCCTGAGGCAGTTATGACAAGTACACTAGAGTTTCAAAGGTGAAGGAATACCTTACAAATGACTTTGTCAGAATAAGCCTTCTCAAAGAAGAAAGGACTTTGAATCTACCTGGAAGAAAGTGAGGGATTTAGAAAGCAGAGGACAGTTTCAGGTGGAATATCAGAAGGCTCTAGGACCTTTGATGTTATTGCAATCTCAAAGACAGAAGTGGAAGGATTGAGGATTTCAACAACTTAAAATGTGGTTATCGGGAAATACAATAAAGTGGTTAGCCACATTGTGGAGATCCACTGGGCAGTGCTTGCCGGCAACTGAGAAGAATGTGGTTTGTAATGGTGCTTGACTGCCAGTCCTGGATTTTTGACTACTTAACTCATTTTGCCTAGCTGCAAAAATGGGGAAGAAAATTTCTCTTATCTAAGAATTAATGTGAAGTTCAAGAAATAATAAACATGAAAGTGTTTTGGAAGCCAAAAACCATTTATACCGTAATAATTCATATTACGTTATACTGTGGTATAATGACCAAAATAGGATTGCTTTAGACAGACAGTTAAACCTTCAGGCTATCAGGATGCTGATACCATTGGATGAATTGCTCTATTTTAGTTGGGAACAAAACAACACAGGGTTTTTCTCTGCAACTGGATGCAGTGCAGGTAACACAAGTGGCTTTTGTTTAAACTGGTAATAAAGAGGCAATTACTGTTAAAGTGCTGAGTCTTCAGTGGTTCTTGGTGCTGTCATGCTCAGCACAGAGGACCTTTCAACCATCCACGTTTGTACAAAGCCAACATCTGAGATGCCTACATGGGAGCCAGACATAGGCAGTGGGCCAGAGTGATTTCCATGAGAAGCCAGGTTAAGTGATATATTGCTTCCTGATTAGATTGGGCAACCCAGCAGCCCACTTCTAGTGAGGACTTTCTATCACCTGCTTGTCAGCTGAAGAAATATTTTTTTCTTCTTGTGTACCATCAAAAAGCTATGGTGAATTGATTCAGAGTGCAAACCAGGTGAGATATATACATTTATAAGACCATCAGTAAGAATTGGTAATCTTGTCTCATGATACCTCTCTAATTTCACCATTTGGCGCCAAAAACAAATTTATATGTTCACTTAGGTTTAAAGCAGCTTATTTAGAACTAACCTAAACACATGCACACACACACAAACACACACACACACACACAAGGTGTAAAAATCAATAACCTATGTAATTAAACAATTTTTTTAAAACAAAGTCTTATACTGTGATTTATTCCCTGTGGTTAAGTTGAATTTAATTGCCCAAGATTTTTTAAAAGTCTTACCACTTCAGTAAGGCTTATTTTTGGTCTTTAGATACATGCTAATCTCTAAAATGTCAATATACTAAATCTGCAGGCTGTTTTCTACAGATTACCACTCTCCAGAAAGATGAAGGATTCCATCTGCTGAGTTACCTATGACGCTGATGGTGTCAGGAAGCTGCGAGAACTTCTCTTTTAGCTTCCCACAGAGTAAGGACCATACCACCCAACCTTCCTCAGCCAGTGAATTTCTTGTTTACTTCCAGAATAAAAGTTGTAAAGGTCTATGACACCTCCTTCTTGCTCACAAATGGAGATGATGGGTGGGGAGTTAATAAAATTCCCGGTATCATAGGAGACAAGTAAAAGACTTGTGTTTTGTTACCGGTTTCTCATTGCCATCATGTTTACTGATTACCTTTGATGGTCTGCTGTGAGGTCAAGGGTCTTCAGAACCAGCCAGGAGGGGATCTAGTTAGATTTCTGTGAAGGAAAGCCTATGTGCCATTCCAGTGCCATAGCCATGCCTGCCATGGTGCGAGAGAGTAGAAGACACTTAAACTTCAGTGCTTTAACTCCTTCACAGATAATAGAAGGAGAGAGGGAGAGGAAGCTGGAAGCTACTTCATCCTTCAACTTCAGGCGGCAGTGCAGGGCTCACTGGGGACTACAGCAGGTCTGTGGAAACAGACTTTGTCACCAGTAATCATGAAGCTAGACGGTTCAGAAGCCTGTGGGGAACATTCCTCCCCCATGAAGTTTTTCGGGGGAAAACAGAGTGGATGCTGTTGTCCTGTCAAATTGAGGCAAACCCCTAAAAGAAGTTTTCACAGAGTCTCTCAAACTCATCATCCTCCAAATGGTGTCAAATACCCACCTAGGGGTTGGGCCAGAGCTGGGGCAGGCCTGGGCTCCCTGGCAAGCTTTAGTCTGTGCTCACTGTACGATACCTCACCCCCAATAAGGCCAAAACCTCTTCAAATTCAATAGCACAGCAACTGCCAAAAGTACATTTTCTTCGACGGCAATTTGCTGGGTGATTTCGGAAGATTTTTGTTTTAACTACCTGGACACACATATACTTGCTATACTACAAGTAGAGAATTCTCAGTAAGTGGACTTACTCACCAAAGAAGGTGGTCTGTGGGGGAGTTAAAACTCAGTGGTCCTTTCAGGTCACTGACTTCAAGTGGCAATAGAGACACAGTCTCTTGTTATCATATTATCTTGGCTTCTAAAACTGGCTGAAGTCCAGAGAATCATAAAGTCATTCAGGAAACCTAGAATGACCTCCCTGCAAGGAAAAGAGGAAGGACTTTCCGTTTAGAGCAATTCTAAACATGAATAACATTTCCTGAATAATAGTAATAATAATTAGAAAGGATTGACTTTTAGAAATTTTACTCATATCAGAGCTCCCACTACTTTGGTTCTATCTTTTCTCTCTAGAAGGAGAGGAGGAGCATCTCCCAGAGCCTGTGTGCGTTAGAAAAGCCGGCATCCCTGGCCAACTCAGGCCCGGGAGATGAGACCCTGATGAATCTCTGCTCCCTTCCGGCTGGAGCCACAGCTCCCTGCATCTTGGGGCAGGGCTACCACGTCCTCCTCCATAGGGGTGCAGGCAGCTCCTCCCAGCCACCCTCCCGCAGTTCCCATCATCTGGCCCCTCTCCACCAGCCTCTTCTTTCCACACTGCCCCCCGAGTTCAGGGAATTTCCCCAGCATCCCAAAGCTTGAGTTTCCTGTCAGGCGGAAGGGATGAGTGCAAATAAAAGGAGTGCGGAAAGCAGGAGGAAGACACAGTGCTCCGGATCCCCCAATCTCTGCGCCTCCAGGAACTCGCGCCCCCTCGCAGCGCTCTCTTGACCGCTATGAGCCTCCAGTCCAGCCGCGCGGCCCGTCTCCCCGGTCCTTCGGGCTCCTTGTGCGCGCCGCTGGCGCTGCTGCTGCTGCTGCTGCTGACGGCGCCGGGGCCCCTCGCCAGCGGTGAGAGCGCAGGGCACGCGGGACGCACTGGGGCACAGCGGTGCATCCCAGCCTCTGCGGGGCCGCTGCTTTCCAGGAAATTCTCCCAGCAACCTGCGCTATAAAGGTGTCTCTCTTTCTTCCTCAGCTGGTCCTGTCGCTGCTGTGTTGAGAGAGCTGCGCTGCATTTGTTTACACACTACGCAGCGAGTTCCCCCCAAAATGATCAGTAATCTGCAGGTGTTCGTCCCAGGCCCGCAGTGCTCCATCGTGGAAGTGATGTAAGTTCTCCTGTGTTGCTGTGTCCACTGTGACCTTGGCAAGAGAGAAGTCGCCCAGCCTGGGTCTTCAACCTTGATGTCTCATGAGTGCATCTTCTTTTTCTTTCCTTCAGAGCCTCCATGAAGAACGGGGAGGAAGTTTGTCTTGATCCAGAAGCCCCTTTTCTAAAGAAAGTCATCCAGAAAATTTTGGACGGGTACTTGTCACTTTGATCTTTGTGGTTTTTAAACCTCATCTAGGGATACCATAGATTTCACAAGGTCTTTACTCTCCGTACGATTTAGATAACATATTCCAAGCTTAGAATTAAAAGGTTGTTACCTTGGGAAAGTTCTTCTGGATTGTCCTGGGAAAATCTTTGTTACCAATCTTACATGTAGCTACTTGAGCAATTACACACAGCTTGTCACTAAGTTGTTTTTTTGTTTAAGCATTGCTTTTATTGATTTTTATATACTCTTTCTTTTAACCAAACATTATAACACTGAGTTCTGACAACAGAGTGGAGTAGACAGGAGTGCGAAAAATGGTTAAACTAATATAACTATTTTCTCAACAGTGGAAACAGGAAAATTGATTAAGAGAAACGAGCACGCATGGAAAAATTGCCCAGTCTTCAGCAGAGCAGTTTTCTGGACGTCTCTGGACCCAGGGAAGATGAGAAGGAAGGTTTTTTTTTTTTTTTTTTTCCTTTTTTTCCAGTAGTTAGCTTTCTTCCTAGATTCCTCACTTTGAAGAGTGTGAGGAAAACCTATGTTTGTCCCTTAAGCTTTCAGCTCAGCTAATGAAGTGTTTAGCATAATACCTCAGCTATTTGCTGCTATTTTATCCGCTATGCTATTGAAGTTTTTGGCAATTGACCATAGTGTGAGCCAAGAATCACTGGCTGTTAATCTTTTAAAGTGTCTTGTATTGAAGTTGACTATTATATTTCCAAGAAATATTCTTAAACTGTTAACTGAGAAGGCTGTGGATTTAATATGGAAATGATGTTTCATAAGAATTCTGTTGATGGAGATTCACTGTTATCTTTATCTCATTTTAAGAAATAGGAAATATTTTAATGTTTCTTGGGGAATATGTTAAAGAATTTCCTTATTCTTGATCGTGGATATTATTTAATTATTTTGCATTAGAAAGTTGAGAATATCATACCTTATCTGTGTAGAATATATTTCCTTATTCAAAATTTCTAAAAGTTTAAGCTATATGAGGACTAATATTTTCTCTATATATAATTTTAGACATTTCGTACCTTCTTAGTATGGCAAAATGCCATCATTTACTTTTAAATTTTGACTTTATATGCTATTTATTAACTATTTGGTTAGCAGTACTATAATACTGGTAACTAAATATATATTTCAGATAGATGAAGAAGCTAGAAAAAAGGCAAATTCCTGACTACCAGTTTATACAGAAATGCATTCTTTTAGTTTTTAAAGTAAAGGCAAACTTAACAATGACCTGTACTCTGAAAGTTTTGAAAACGTATTCAAACAGTTTGAATATAAATGTATCACTTAATTCAAAAAATTTATAGCAACATCTCGAGGCCCTAGCATTTCTCCTTGGATAGGGGACCAGAGGGGGCTTGGAATGCTGCAAAAAAAAAAAAAAAAAAAAAAAAAAAAAAAAAAACAAGGAAAAGTCACCCAAGGGATGTCAGCTTTTTATCCCTCTGCATGGTTTGATTTTCCAAAACCATAATTTGCAGAAGGCCATAATATAAGGCGGCCACACAGGGGCGAGGTCCCTCCCTGCTCACAGGTTTGGGCCCTTTCACAGAGCAGAACCTGGGTTAGAGGATCGCAGAAGATGAGGGGAAGGGCAGGAAAGATGCCTGTTGGGTTTTTGGCACAGTTAATTTCATTGGGATTTTGAAGCATTTCTGTCTGAACTCAAAGGCTGTTCTAGTCCTGGTGGGACATACTATGGGTGGGGCAGAGAAAGATACTGTAATGAAACCAGTTAGTCAATGTTGTCTTAAATATCGCTGCCAATTCTGCAAAGTTCCTTTTTATGAACATTTCTGTTTAAGCTATTTCACCTTTGTTTTGAAATCCTTTCCTTCTAAGTAGAAAATGTGAAGCTTGTGAAAAAGCTTATAAGAAAGCCCCTCTCATTTTTTTCTTTAAAGCTTTAAATGACAAATCTAAGTAATTAAGGTTGTGAATTCCTATTTTTGCTTTGTTTTTAATGAAAATAAAATTTTCAGAATAAGATTGTGTGATAATATTTAAATGGCCAAAATAAAACATGATTTTGTGCAATTAACAAAGCTACTGCAAGAAAAATAAAACACTTATTGGTAAAAAAAAATACATATTTATATGTTATATATAATATATATCTATTATACATATAGCATTGCTAAGATTTTTAGATGTCTTTTTTGTATCTTTTAAAGGTTTTGACCTTTTTATGAGGAATTATGTACATATTATATTCACTATATTAAAATTGTACTTTTTTACTATGTGTCTTATTGGTTCATAGTCTTTATTTTGTCCTTTGAAATAACAATAAAAGATTTCTGAACTTCACTTATATTGTTTCTCCTTCCTATACTGTTACAATGCATTTTACTTATCTTCAATTCAATGTAATTTGAAACACTAACTCTGCTCCTCTCTGGCTGGCAGAGAAGTCCCTCATCCCTAATATTATTGCCTTGGTTCAACCTTTCTCCAAGCTCACTTCCCTTCCAGTTACTCTGTCACAGAACCAACAGCCCCTGGGGTCTTTAGAAAACACAGATAGAATTGGATTTCCCTATATAAATTCTTAACTGGCTCACTGTTTCCTAGACATGAAATAAAGGTTGCTAAGCATTACAGATGATATTCTTTCTGTCTCCTTCCACTCCTGATCAGCACTTCAACTTCCTTTGCCCCTCAAATTCACTATAGTCAGGCATTCAGTTCCCTAACTGGGCCTGCTCTTTCCCAGGCCCATGACTTTGCATTTGCTAGGACCACTACCTAGAAGGCACTTATCCCTCTTCTGCATGTAAGAGGAGGTTTATTCATCCTTAAGAACTCAGCTCAAGCTCAAAGTTCGTGTTTTCCTTGATAGAGCTCATGGCTTCCGTTTTGATGCTCCCGTAACATCTCATTATCTGAATTACAACAAAAATACTTCATTACTCTTATTTGTTTATAGGTTTCTTCATCTATTCTAGCTCTCCTAAATCAATAATTATATTGTATCTACTTCTGCATCCCCAATGTAGCCTTAATGCATGACTTAATGAATTAATAAATTATCCTGATCTTCAGGCTATCAGTTCAATAACCTGGCTCATGGTAGGTGGTTGTTGTGTTGTTGTTTGTTTTTTTTGTTTTTGTTTTTTGAGATGGAGTCTTGCTCTGTTGCCCAGGCTGGAGTGCAATGGCATGACCTCGGCTCACTGCAAGCTCCGTCTCCCAGGTTCAAGTGACTCTCCAGCCCAAGCCTCACAAGTTGCTGGGATCACAGGCACCTGCCACCGTGACTGGCTAATTTTTATATTTTTGTAGAGGTGGGATTTCACCATGTTGGTCAGGGTGGTCTTGAAGCTTTATAAGGGCAGGGACAATGCTTATCAGCTTCACCTCAGTTCCTAGGACATAATAGGTATTCAAAAAGCGAATAATCTAGGCTAAACAAATCCCATTGTCACTCTAAAATTAAAAGAGCAATTTCATTTGAATATATATTCTTAGGTATTCATACTTAAGATTTCCCTACCTAAATGACAAATGAGGTTCTGTCTCATCCCAATCCTGATCAGTACTTCAAATTCCCTTGTCCCTTAAATTTAATATATAAATACCTAAGAATAGATATTTATAAAAAAATTACTCCTTTATGAAACACAAAAAAATGAAAGAAAGAAGATTAATCACATTAGTATGTATGTACATACATTCACACTACAGTTGGATTATATTACACATGCTTACATAGGCATGTGCTTGTATAAATTACAATACGCTATGAGTCTTTTTAAAGAAGCTCTGGAAACTATATATTCTCTTTATATTTTCTGTATATAGAAAATAAATTATATAGTACTTATCAGAATATATGAAGCATTTTCCTTTGTGTTAATATTCATCAATCAAATATTAATTTAATTACATTATCGATAATCTTGTTTACATGCCTATTGTCTGTGCAGGGTCCTTATGATCTGGAAATTTAAAGATGAGGAACTTTCAGTCTAAGTTATGGTTTTCTGCTGCAAATATACTTAGTTTTCCCACAGAACAAAGATTTTCCAGTAAGGAGAGTGGAAGAAAGGGGAGAAGAGGTGAGGGGAAGAACTAGAAGAGAAGGCTAGAGGAGACAAAGATGAGAGGAGGAGAGTGTTGGAAGGGCTTTTGGCTTGTGGTGGTTGTTGCTGTTATTTTTCTGCTTTCTATTTTCTTCCTTCTCTCCTTTTCCTTCTTCTTCTCCTCCCTTCTCTCCTCTTGCCATTCTCCTTCTCTCCCACCATCTCTCATTTCTGCTTATTAGTAAGAAGTCGAATAATTATATTTAAAAGAGTAGGAGAAGAACCCAGGTGCCCCAGCCGAAATCACAGCAAGCAGTCAACACCAACCACCTCTCATGTGAATTAGGCCATTAACAACTTGTTTTATTTTATTATTTTTCTTATTTAAAAAAATGTTGTGGGTACTTATTAGATGTATATATTTACGGGATACATGAGATGTTTTGATACTGGCATGCAATGTGAAACAAACACATTGAGAATGAGGTATCCAACCTCTCAAGCATTTATCCCTATGGGTTACAAACAATCCAATTACCCTCTGTATGAGTTATTTTAAAATACACAATTGTTATTATTGGCTATTGGCACCCTGTTGTCCTACTTTTTACTTTCATGCATTTCAGCTGCTTCTGACTGCATTCAAATGAGCTTAGCAGAAGAACCTCAAACTAACATACAGAATTATCAGAAATAATAAATTAATATCTTAAGCCACTATGAAGTTGACTTATTACACAAGAGAGGATTAATGGTACTTGGTAACAATTTAATGTGGTTGTAGGCTCTAGAACAACACATGTTAGAATTTCTTTAATGAATGGAAGCTAGGTAACTTTCATACATTTAGATTTAACAAATGATATTAACCAACTTAATTTAAAACACAAATTTTGAGGCATGCAAAACATTAAAGTGCTTGTATGTAATAGCACCAGGAAGATACTTCCCCCTCAACTCCTTCACCCTCTCCATTCTCCCTTCACTTTCACTCCATACTTCACCTCTGAGCAGTAGACAGTAAAACCTCAATTAATTTGAGTGTCAGAGTAATTCATGTCTGACCAATTCTTGTCAACTCACAGTTATACAGTAAGCATTTGGTTTCAGCACTTATAGAAAAAAATTTTGATGGCTAGCATTTTAAATTTATTGATTAATGTACTTTAACAAACAGACTCAAAATTGTACTATCCTTAGCATTTTCTGTACCAATTGCTTTTATGATTGATTTGCAGGTGGTAGTCTATTTCCTTCATACTTGAAAGAAGGATTTGAAAAATGTGCATTTAAAATGTTCTGTGTGAGGCAGAGAAGAGCTAGTCTATGTCTTAATTTTATAGATAGCAGTCCTCCAGTCTCTCTAGATATTTCCTGTTAAAATAGCTATCATAAAATGTGCTTTGGGTCCTCGATAATTTGCTTGCTTCCTGCATGACTCTGCTATTTATAAGATGACTTAAAGAAAAAAGAGCTAAAATAACTTAGCACCCCTCAACACACACATACATAAACCCACAATGACAAAGTAAGATTAATAAAAAGGTTGTCAAGTTATTTTAAAAGCAAGGAACAAAATAACTCTTTTCTACTTCTAGCATTTATTTAAATAATAATCTTGTATAATGCTTTTAACTGAATAAGTTATTAAAAAATATATTTTAACCATTTTTGTACACTCAATTTATCATCACCTGTATTGCGTTTCTCACCGCGGAAATGGAAGGGAATGATGCAAATGACAGTAACAGCAGTTAACAGCACAGCTGTCATCATAGTAACAAGAGTAGAGTATTTTTAATATCCTGTTGCTTTACACAAATATTTTAGGCCTAATTTTTAAAAGATAAATAATTAAATGACCAAGTCACGCAAAGAGAACTTCATAAAACCAGTTCAGGCTTAATCAAGTGATGCCTAATCAATATTTTTGAGTTAAAGACTAGCAAAATACTGTTTTATATCAAATGCTGACTGATATGCTTATGAAATTTTGATGACTCCAGAAATCTACTACTATTTCCTCATGAATTTTGCTGATGATGTGTCTTTTGTGACAAGCCACATTTGTTGATTAAGGCAATGACTCCATGATACTGTGCTCCATCCTACCTCTTTCCTGGTATCAACCCACTCAGAAGCACTATTACTGCAGAAAACTTTTCATACAGTTTTCTCAGAAAGATTAGAAACTTTTGGGAAATCTTACTAATGAACGGGTAAAGAAATCTGGATAGTGTTAAGCAGGGAAAGAAAAAGGTGTCTAGTGAAGCTAATAATATTCTCAGTAATACTGTTTGAGGGTTGAACAGAAAGCAAAAGATACTATGCATAGTGTTAAAAACCATTATATCTTGCTG